TCAATGATCCTCATCAATAGCCAGAGGAACCTGAGTCACCAGTTTCAAGGGAATTACCTAAGTTTGACGGACAGGGACTTTTCTCCCAAGAAAGGAGGAAAGAAAAGACTTAACTAGGTTTACTGAAAAGGTTAAGAATTTTGCAAGTAATGGCCCATATCACCAGGGCTCCTGGGGCTGCGAATGTTCTTATTATTGGTCTGGGAGCTGGTGACAATGAGGTGTCCCTAGGGGAAAGTTCTCTCTTTGCCATACCCTCCATCCCTGAAAGTGACCACCAAACCACCCTGCCAGGGGACCTTCCTGTCTGGTTTAGTTGGCATTTGTTGAATGCTTGCTGGGCACGTCACCAAAGATTGGGCCAGTTACTGTGGATTATACATGTTGATACCTCTCGGTGGGCTCAGCAGACCATCCCACTGAAGTGGTTGGGGTATCAGCCCATTTCGCATCTGAGAGAGTTGAACCACAGTGGTGGGATCCCTGCTGGGGTCACACAGCCAGGTCATGATCGGGCTGGGATTTGAATCCAGAGCCTGGGATCTTCACTTATCCCAACCCCAGGTTTATATTCTCAGTGCATTGAAAATACATTAATTGTGTCTTCTCTCACCTCCATCTCCTACTATTATTTTGCAACATAGTTTTTTACCCAACATTCTCTTTGCATCTTCTAAATTTGGTCAGTTTAAGTGGACCTTGTTCACCTCCCCTGCTTTTCCTCATTGGGTTCAAAGGCCAACTCCTCGCCCCACCCAGCCAGGGCCCCAGGGGTGACAGAGCAAAAGAGCAAGAGAGCTTGAGGTGAGGTTGGCAGGTGTTGAATGCTGTGAATAAAGAATGCATTTTCTTGCTAAGCCCATCCCAGGGAGGGCTTCCTGTAATGGGGGCCTGAGATGCTCTGGGGAGCTCAATAGTGGGAGTGACGGAGACAGAGATGGTGGTGGTGGTGGGGAGAGGGGGAGACAGACCTCTGTTGACAGAGTTATCAGACTGGGTCTGCCCCCAAGGCACAATCACATCAGATGCACAAGCTTAGAGCTCCGGACTCTGAACTACTTGAGTCCCCCCACAGGTAATGACAGCCACCCATATTCCTGTAAACAAGCTAGTACTCATCTGCTTCCTGATGGGAAATCTGTACATTTATGATTGATTGCCCCTGCCTGCCTGGGGCAGAGGCTGAACTGGAAGGTAATGTAGAGGCTGCAGATTGACTGGAGATGTCTGTCCTGGGCAGAGACAAGAGTGTTTAGTGTGAGTTCACACAAATCCAGGTGTAGAATATCTTCCAACCCCCAGCACAGCCTCACCTGGGGCCTTATGGCTCCTAACCCACATTGTACACTCAGAATCCCCTCTCCCTCTCTCTGTCTCTCTCCATCTCTTTCTTTCTCTGTGTGTATGTCTGTCCCTCTCTCCTTCCTCTTTCTCCAGCTCCGTCCCTACCTCACCTAGAAGCACCTCTGTCCCCTCCCCAACATCCGAAAGCTTTGTAGTCTTGTCCTCTCTACTTGGAACTGAGGGGCTGCCTCTTTCTGTCCAGGCAGATTGCACTCATGGTGCCTCCGAGTGAGGAGACACCCCTGATCTCTCAGCGCTCTTGCAGCCTCTCATCTTCAGAGGCTGGTGTGCTGCATGTGCTGCTGCCACCTCGGGGCCCTGGACCCCTGCAGCGTCTATCCTTCTCCTTTGGGGACCACTCGGCTGAAGAGCTGTGTGTTCGGGCTGCTAAGGCCAGTGGTGAGTGTGTCCCTAAAAGGCTGGGCCAGAGGGATGGGTAAGGGTGGGAACCTGGATTGGGAGCTAGAATAGCTGCCAATCCGAGTCAGCATTGGAGCTGGGGCTTTGAGGGATGAATAGGAGTTTGGTAAGGGAGGAGGGTGCAGAGGGAATGGCATGTGCAAAGAGTCAGAGGTGTGATGGAACAAGAGGGAAAACAGCTGGTCATCCCTCAAGGTAAAGTGTATAGTGGAAGGAGGTGCTCTGGGGAGGTGGGGGGGCCCTGAGAAGCAGATAGGTGTGTGGCTTCTCTCCTGAGGGGCAATAGGGAGCCCTGGAGTGTGTTTGAGCAGGGGCAGGATACAGTGTCAGAGTTAAAGGTGACAAAGAATTCTGTGGGGCTGCAGAGAACAGATGGGGAGACTCAGGAGGGCGCTAATGGGGGCATCCCCTCAGGCATCCTGCCTGTGTACCACTCCCTCTTTGCTCTGGCCACGGAGGACCTGTCCTGCTGGTTCCCCCCGAGCCACATCTTCTCCGTGGAGGACACAGGCACCCAAGTCCTTGTCTACAGGCTCCGGTAGGAAGTACCTCCCTGCCCCATCCCATGCAGGTGTGGGTTAGACAATACCAGAACGGAATGCCTTTTACTGAGGGCTTAGGGAATGGGAGTTTAAAACACTGATCCTATAATGTACCATCTCCCTTCGCCTCCCAGTGGGTGCCCCAGGAGGGGCGTGATCACTGCCCAGTTAACAGATGAGAAAACTGAGGCCAGAGAGGGTGGTGGCTTGCCCAATGTCACACAGCAAGTCAATGGCACACCCTGGGCTCTGTGAGGTCTTGGCATGGTCCGCTACCCCCACATATCCTCACTCCAGGCTTCTCCCCTCTTCCCCCTTAGCTTTTACTTCCCCAACTGGTTTGGGCTAGAGAAGTGTCACCGCTTCGGGCTTCGAAAGGACTTGGCTAGTGCCATCCTTGACCTGCCAGTTCTGGAGCACCTCTTCGCCCAGGTAGGGACCTATGTGGGGCTTGGTCCAGGGCTGGGAGTCCACAGAGCAACCTCAGGGATGGCCTCGGCTGACTTTCCCTGTGGCAACCCAGGGATGGGGGGGTCAGCCCAGGGGTGGGAGTTCACAGGGCAACCTTAGGGCTCATGGTTGGGTTGTGACCGGCCCCCAGCACCGCAATGACCTGGTGAGCGGCCGCTTCCACGTGGGCCTTGGCCTCAAGGAGCAGGGCGAATGTCTCAGCTTGGCAGTGCTGGACCTGGCCAGGATGGCCCGCGAGCAGGCCCAGCGGCCAGAGGAGCTGCTAAAGACCGTCAGGTGAGGGCCGACAGGCTGTGGCACCCAGCTCCACCTAGGCATGAGCAAATGTGGCTCCACCAGGGCATCCCAGAGCCCAGGACCCTCATGGAGCACCCTGCCTACAAGCCTGCAGTGTGTCCATGTGACCCAGGCCCTCCAACACAGCCCACACCCCACTGAGGTTCCAGAGCCCTGCCTCCTGCCCCTAAAAGGCCTGCTTGTGTCCCCGTCTGTCCTGTGGACCCCACTGGCCCAACCCACACTGAGGTCCTGCCCCCATGTATGTCCCTAGATGTTTCTCCATGTGCACCTCATACCCTTCAGGAAGGCCACACTACAGCCCCTCAACTAAAGCCTGGGTTGGTGTGTGTCCCTGTCCGTCCCTGAGGAGACCCCTTCCCACACTCAGGGCCCGCTCCCCCCACTCGCAGCTACAAGGCCTGCCTGCCCCCTGGCCTGCGCAACCTGATCCAGGGCCTGAGCTTCGTGACTCGGAGGCGCATTCGGAGGACTGTACGCCAGGCCCTGTGCCGCGTGGCCGCCTGCCAGGCTGACAGGCACTCGCTCATGGCCAAGTACATCATGGACTTGGAGCGACTGGACCCGGCCAGGGCCGCTGAGACCTTCCTCGTGGGCCTCCCCGGGGTTGCTGGTGGTCAGGATGCACCGGGGCTGCTCCACGTGGCTGGTGACAGCGGCATCGCCTGGAGTTCAGGAGAACAGGAGGTGCCATCGGGTGCTGGGTGGGGCCATTGGAAGGGGCGGGACGGGGAAACGAGCGGTGGGGGAGCTCTTAGGGGTAGGGCAAAGGAGGAGGAGAGACTGTGGGAGGGCTCAGGGAGTGGCTACCTAAGTGAGAGGTAGAGCCGAGCGTCGGGGCGGGAATGAAAATGGGCGGGGCTGAAAAGGAAATGAACGTTGGGTGGGCGAGGCTCTGGGTGGGGCTAATGGCACAGGAGGAGGCCGGACTAACGGAGGGGGCGGGGACATAAAGTGGAGCTAAACGAGGGAGGGGCTCAGGGAGGGGACTCACCAAAGGAAGGAGGTGGGGTTTGGCAGGGGTAGGATGAGAGAAATTTGGGAATGGGCATGGAAGGGGTTGAGAAGGGCGGGGCTCATGGTCACAGATTGGTGGTGTCCAGGCTTCCAGGGTGGATTGGGTGCTCTGAGGGAGCGGGACCCCCGTTCTCAGCCCTACCCCGCCCTTCCAGGTCTTCCAGCCCTTTTGCGACTTTCCAGAAATCGTGGACATCAGCATCAAGCAGGCTCTACGCGTTGGCACGGCCGGGGAGCACCGCCTGGTCACTGTCACCAGGACAGACAACCAGATCCTGGTGGGTGTTGGACCCCCTTCCTTCCCACCTTACCCGAGGGTGGGGACCGCAGCAGGTGCTGATAAGGACCCTCGCAGGAGGCCGAGTTCCCTGGGCTGCCCGCCGCGTTGTCCTTTGTGGCGCTCGTGGATGGCTACTTCCGGCTGACTGTTGACTCTCGGCACTACTTCTGCAAGGAGGTAGCACCGCCGCGGTTGCTGGAGGAGGTGGCGCAGCAGTGCCATGGCCCCATCACGTAAGGACCCGACTCCCATGCCCATTCTCCACAGCCAGAGCTACCCAGGTCTGAACCCTGGTCACTCTCCTCCATGTTTCAATGTCCTGGCCTCCCAGGAGTTCTGGACAAAGAAAGAGTCAAGTGCTCTCCTGACTCCTGGGGTCTAAGGGCCATTTCTTCTTGTTTAATCTCCTAGTCAGAAACCCATCTTTTGGCCCACTTTATATATGGGGGGTAGGTAAGGGAGGAAATGTTACCTGGTGAGGGTCCCAGGGCTTCAGAGAGACCAGAATGAGAATCTATATCTGGTTTGGTTTCTCTGCCTCCATCTCTCTGTCCTGGACTCTCGGTTTTCTTCCACCTTTCCCCAAGCCTGGATTTTGCAATCAACAAGCTCAAGATGGGGGGGTCCCTTCCTGGCTCCTACGTTCTCCGCCGCAGCCCCCAGGATTTCGACAGCTTCCTCCTCACTGTCTGTGTTCAGGTCGGTCCACCCCTAGGAGCCAACAGGGCAGGGAGGGCTTCCTGGAGGAGGTAAGATTTAAGTTGAGACCTGAAAGATGTGTCAGCATTTGCTTCTTGAAGAATGGGAGGGAAAGATATTCTCAGTGGAGGGAACAGCATATGCAAAGGCTTGAAGACTGAAATGAGCCTGTGGGGATCCAGGAAGAGAGAGTGAGGGGGAAGGGGCTGTCTACTCCCACTCAGAGACCTCTCCTCCTTGCAGACCCCCCTGGGCCCTGATTACAAGGGCTGCCTCATCCGGTGTGACCCCACAGGAGCCTACTCCCTGGCTGGCCTTGGCCGACCCCACAGTAGTCTGCGAGAGCTCCTGGCAGCCTGCTGGGATGGTGGGCTGCATGTGGATGGGGTTGCACTGAACCTTACCTTCTGCTGCACCCCTAGACCCAAAGGTGAGCCCATCCTGCCCCCTGAGCTGAGCAGTTGATCTGGGGCCCTGTCATTTTGTGTTCGTCACAGCTCTTGTGTGGCAAGTAGCAGAAACTGCAGGTCAAAGGAGTATAGGAGAGAAAAGATGATTTATTGGCTTGTGGGATACAGATCTGCCTTCAGGCATGGCTAGATCCAGATGTAGCTGAATCTGAGAGATGTCACTAGCACTTAGTCTCCCTCCATCTCTTACCTCTTCCTCTGGGTGAATTTCACTCTCAGACAAACCCCATGGATGGGACAACTCTGAAGTGTGAGTTCTGAGTTTCCCAGAATCCCTAGAAGGACTGAGACCAGGTTGCCCATAGCGCTCGTTGCTCATTGGCACTCCCTGCAGGATTCCTTCCCTCTCTGTCCCACTCCCCCATCCCACACTGGGGCTTCCTGGAGTCTCCTTTCAAACAAACCATGTGCCCTGGAGTCTTCCTCTCAGGGCTGGCTTCTGGGTGAAACCCCAAGCTAACACAGGGATTGAGCAAAACTTTACTGGCCTTTCACCTCTGACCTCTGGTTTTCTTCTTCCACCCATTCCCCATAGAAAAGTCCAACCTGATTGTGGTCCGGAGAGGTTGCAGCCCACCCACATCATCCCCCGTGCAGCCCCACTCAGGATGCCAGCTGAGTCAGATGACATTTCACAAGATACCTGCTGACAGCTTGGAGTGGGTAAGAGGCCCCAGGAAATGGTGGGGGGGAACCTCAGTTGGAGTCCAGAGACCTGGTCTACGTCCACCTCTGCTTCAGGCATGTGATCTGTTTCATCAGGCCAGGGGGCAGGGACCAAAATCCATGGGAGCCCCTTACTGACCTCTCCTGTTTTCCTCTCACCCTCTAGCATGAGAACCTGGGTCATGGATCCTTCACGAAGATTTACAGGGGCTGTCGCCACGAGGCCATGGATGGGGAGCCCCGGAAGACAGAGGTGCTGCTCAAGGTGTTGGATGCCAAACACAAGAACTGCATGGAGGTGAGTGGGTACGGACCAGGCCTTTGGGGTCAGAGCTGGCTGCAGAAAGGGTTGTGATGTTTAAAAACACAGAAATGTAGCCGCAGCATCTCCAAACAATGAAATATAGAAGGGTTGGGGAATTTAGATGGAAAGAGTATACCAGACTGCAGGAACAGCCTGTGCAAGGATCCTGAGGCAGGACTGAGCCTGGCACATTTAAGGAACAGTGAAGAGGCCAGTGGGCCAGAGAAGAGTGAACAAAGGAGAGGGGAGTGATAGAGATGGAGACATCTGAGGGGCTGGGCCACACAGAGGAAGACTTGAACCCATCTCAACCCCCAAATCTCCCACTTCTCTGTGAGACTCGAAGTGGACTACAGTGAGGACTTCCTCTAGATGCCATCAGAAAATCATGATGCAGAGTGCTGTGTGTGCCCATGGTGGGCTCCAGGGCCAGAGAAGGTTAGGGCCAGCCTCCTCCTGAAGCAGAATTGTGAGCAGCAAGTTTGGGGTCTCTAGTCAGACCCCAGAGCAGGAGGAACCCATGCATCTTCTCTCTCCTTACCTCCCCAGTCATTCCTGGAAGCAGCAAGTTTGATGAGCCAAGTATCGTACCAGCATCTCGTGTTGCTTCATGGCGTGTGCATGGCTGGAGACAGTGAGACACCCCTGCCCTGCCTCACTGACCCTATCCATGGCAGCATTAGCAATACACATATAGGGGCCATCACCCTGTGCCCATGCTCCTCAATCATCACTCCTTGGGCAGTAGCTCCAGGCTCCTACCAGTACCCAGCCCTATAACTATCTTAAGCTAGAGAGACCTGGGTTCCAATGTCACTTCACTGTGTACCCCCACTGCAGCTTTGCAAGGGCTACATTGCCTCTCCAAGCCTCTATTCCATCTGTTCAGTTCAGCCCAATATGTGCCAAGAGCTGGGTGCACTGCAAAGAACATGACAGGCTGGCAGTGTGATGGGGATAGCACAGGGCGCCAGGAGTGGTTAGAGAGGCCAATAACTCAGCTTCGAGGTCAGGCAGTGGTTCTGGGGAGGCAAGGATAAGTAGGAATTAGGGAAGAGAAGGAAGAGGGGTGTTCTAGGCAGAAGACACAGAACATGCTAAGGGCTGGTAGTGAGATATAGAGAGAGCTTAGAACCTTCCAGGTGTTTCAGACAGATAGTTCGAAGATGGGAGGTGGGAGGTAGAGAGGTGTTTAGGATAAGGATGGAGGTGCAGGGGAGGGAACAGTCAGAGCAGAGTGTTCAAGTGACCCCTGAGGGTGGGGTGGGGGCAGAGCCTGTTGAACACAATGCAGTCCTTCCTCCCAACCCTGCCCCTCCCTGTGCTGCAAACAGGCATCATGGTGCAGGAATTTGTACACCTGGGAGCACTGGACACGTATCTACGCAAGTGTGGGCAGCTGGTGCCAGCCAGCTGGAAGCTGCAGGTGATCAAACAGCTGGCCTATGCCCTCAACTATCTGGTGAGTGCTTCTCTGCCTGCTCCACCCTCTGCTCATAGAGGGGAGGGGGATTTGAGGGTGGGCTTTGTAGTATGAATAGCAGTTTGGCAAGGGTGAAGAGGAGGGCATTTGAGACTGAGGGAACAGCATATGTGCAGGTCTGGAGATATAAGAGCAGGAGAAGGAGACAGCTGATCATCTGTGGATATCATTGGGGAGTCATGAGCAATGAGGCTGGGCAGGGAGAAAGGCTTCCCAAAGATCTGGGTCCTTGAGGGTTGAGTAGGAGTTCATCAGGAAGAGAGAGGAAGGAGGGCATGTCAGGCTGAGGGAACAGCCTGGGCAAAGGCCCGTAGCTGAGAAGGCATGTTCCATGTCTGGGGTGCATCAGGCAGTTTAGTAGGCAGGAGACCAGGTGTAGGAGAGTTCATAGGAAGAATGAGAAAGGGCTGGATATCAAAAGGCCTTGAATGCCAGGCTGAGGACCTTTGACTTTATCCTGAAGGCAATGAGGAGCTGCAGAGTGGGAGAGCAATGTTTGAAAAGGGGAGGGACACAGGTCATAGCGGGTGAACTAGAGAAGGCCATACAGGATGCCAGTAATCTAAGGAAGATTCTGGAGTATGGTGTGAGCCATATCAGTTGGGCTTTGAAGGATGTGTTGGAGTTTGCCAACCGGTATATTTGCTCATCAAACCCTCCTTGGCTTTTCTCTATGCCTGGCCCTCTTAGGAGGACAAAGGCCTTCCCCATGGCAATGTCTCAGCCCGGAAGGTGCTCCTGGCTCGGGAAGGGGCTGAGGGGAGCCCGCCCTTCATCAAGCTGAGTGATCCCGGTGTCAGCCCCACTGTACTAAGCCTGGAGAGTAAGCGAGGAGGGCCGGAGGAGGGAGGGAACTTGTGGGGCAAGGAAGCAATTCCTGATGACATCCCTACCCCTCAGTGCTCACTGACAGGATCCCCTGGGTAGCTCCTGAGTGTCTCCAGGAGGCCCGGACACTTGGCTTGGAAGCTGACAAGTGGGGCTTCGGTGCCACAGTCTGGGAGGTGTTCAGTGGTGTCACGATGCCAATCAGTACCCTGGATCCTGCCAAGGTCAGAGCCCCCCTTTGACAGAAGGGTGGACTAAAGTCCAGCTTGGGAAAGATAGGTGGGTGTTGGGGGCATTCTGAGAGTGAACCAGGAGTGACCAGCCCTTCCTCCTGCCCTCAGAAGCTCCAGTTTTATGAGGAACGGCAGCAGCTGCCTGCCCCCAAGTGGATGGAGCTGGCCCTGCTGATCCAACAGTGCATGGCCTACGAGCCAGGCCACAGGCCCTCCTTCCGCGCCGTCATCCGTGACCTGAACAACCTTATCACGTCAGGTGCCCCTGGGTCAGGCAGGGTGGACAGGGCTGGCATGTCATATTGGGCCTGGTGGGAAGAGAGCCCAACCTATGCTCCTGGCATTATTGGAGTGTTGATGACTAATAGTCAGCATGGCCTTGATAGCTGCTGTAATAAACATTCAGTGAGTGTCCAGGTCAACAGGCACCTCTCCCTTTGTGGCTCCACCCATTCCATGACCTCAGGTCTCCAACGGATCTTCTGCAGACAAAAGAGACTGTGGAGGGTCTCATGCTAGGTTTCCATGGGCCAGGTCTGAAGGGGCACCCAACGCATCTCCCCCATTAGCTTGAGCTCAGTCATGTGACTGTGGCTCATATCAGTGAAGTCTGGGAAGGCCCCTCACTCTTTATAGGCATGTGTAGTTACATAGAGTGTGCACTGCCTAAGGGAACTACCTTGGTCCTGGGGCACCTTTTCCAGCCCCTGCAAAGTACCCTTTGGCTTGCAGTGGCCCTGCCATAATGCACAGAGAGGGTAAACATGCAGATAGAGGTCACATAGCAAGTCAGCTCGGGGCCCAATGCCCTACTCATTCACTGCCTGTGACCCCCAGACTATGAGCTCCTCTCAGACCCCACACCTGGTGCCTTGGCACCCCGTGACGGGCTGTGGAATGGCGCCCAGCTCTATGCCTGCCAGGACCCTACTATCTTTGAGGAGAGACACCTGAAGTATATCTCACAGCTGGGCAAGGTGAGGTGGGCTGGGCTGGGCTGGGCTGGGCGGAGGAGCACCTAGGCACGTGGACACCAGCCTCATTGTCCCCCAGGGTAACTTTGGCAGCGTGGAACTATGTCGCTATGACCCGCTGGGAGACAACACAGGTGCCCTGGTGGCCGTGAAGCAGCTGCAGCACAGTGGGCCAGACCAGCAGAGGGACTTCCAACGGGAGATCCAGATCCTCAAAGCCCTGCACAGTGACTTCATTGTCAAGTACCGTGGTGTCAGCTATGGCCCAGGTTCGCCCCCTCCCAATGGTGGTCTTCAAACCTTACAGCCTCATCCTTCTGCAGTACCGCTTTGGGGTGGTCTGCAAACACCAGCAGGGGCGCCACGGAATCTCTCGTTTATCCAGATCCAGACTTGTCAGGGGTTTGAATTCCAGCTCTATCCCTTAGCAGTGGGGTGACCTTGGGCAGGCGATTTAACCTCTCTGAGTATCAGTTTCCCTCTCCAAAAAATGAGTCATTATGAGGTGTCGATGAATCAATGTATATTGTGGAAAGTACTCAAGAGATGTTAGTGATAAGTGTTATTGTTGCCTTCCCATTATGGAAAGCAATACTGAGCCCATGGTCCCACTCTGAACAGGAGGAAGAACGGGGAGGAGAGCAGACAGGGTTGGTCCCTGTGGTGACTTTTCATCCCCACTCCCCACCCCCACCCCTAAGGCCGTCAGAGCCTGCGGCTAGTCATGGAGTACCTGCCCAGTGGCTGCCTGAGAGATTTCCTGCAGCGGCACCGCGCACGCCTCGGCGCCGGCCGCCTGCTCCTCTATGCTTCGCAGATCTGCAAGGTGCGGAGTGGGAGCCCTGAAACCTGCGGGCCCAGCTGGCTTGCCTTGGGCAGGGGTCTGCGTGGAGTCGTGGGGGAAAGTTGAAGGTTGAAGTTTTGGGGTCTAGGTCAGGTTAGAAGCGGGGTTGAGTTAGGGCTAAGGTCAGTACTGGAATGCAGGATGGAGTAGGGGGTGGGGTTGGGGATGAATTCCAGGTCAGGCTTGGGGCCTCTGCTAGGTCATCCTGAGGTCTAAATCCTATGTCTGTCCGTAGGGCATGGAGTATCTGGGCTCCTGCCGCTGCGTGCACCGCGACCTGGCAGCGCGTAACATCCTGGTGGAGAGCGAGACGCACGTCAAGATCGCCGACTTTGGCCTCGCCAAGCTGCTGCCGCTGGACAAAGACTATTACGTTGTCCGCGAGCCAGGCCAGAGCCCCATTTTCTGGTGGGGACCTCGTCCCGGCCCAGGATCTCCTCCTCACAGCCCTGGCCCCTCCCCGGCTCCGCCCCTCCTCCCAGTGTACTGGCTCCGCCCCTCTTCTCACCTTGATCTGCCCCTCGGCACTGGCCCTGCCCCACAGCTGCGGTTGCTCCCTGAATCCCGCCCTGGCCCAGCTTCTCCCCACTACCCTGGCCTCTCCCACGCTGCCCACTGTTCTGGCTTTGGCCCTCCTCCTTGCTATCCCTGGTCCGCCTTAGCCCCGCCCCTCCCACAGCCCGGGCCCCTCTCGGGATATGCACCTCCTCCCAGCGTACTGGCTCCGCCCCTACCCAACCTCGCCCGCCCTGCTTCTTCTCTCCCCATAGCGAAGGCAGCCCTGACCCCCCATCCCCCAGGTCCTGTCCGGCCAGGCCACAGGGTTGGAGAATCACCCCTATCCCTCAATCAGAGAAACTACCAAGCAGGAGCTGGGACTGACCTCACAGTCCCACCTGCCCTGGACACCGCCCCTAGCCCAAGGTTGCGCCTTTCCCAGCCCTCGCACCCCAAGGCCGCACCATCTCCTCCAGGTACGCCCCGGAGTCCCTCTCAGACAACATCTTCTCGCGCCAGTCGGACGTCTGGAGCTTCGGAGTCGTCCTGTACGAGCTTTTCACCTACAGTGACAAGAGCTGCAGCCCCTCCGCCGTGAGTCGGCGTCTGGGTCCCCAGCACCCTCCCTTCCCACCTCTTAGCTAGTGCTGACATCCCCGAAAGGCAGCCCCCTCCATCACAGAGGACCCCTCCCTCTTTATCACAGATGACCCTTCTCCCTCAATCACGTGACCCCTCATCCCTCCACCACAGAGGCCTCTCCCAATCATGGGCAGTCCCTTCCCCTCCTTCACGCAATGCTCCTCCCTCACCATGGGCGCTCTCCCTTGGCCCCAGGAGTTCCTGCGGATGATGGGTTGTGAGCGAGATATCCCGGCTCTTTGCCGCCTCCTGGACCTGCTGGCAGAGGGCCAGAGGCTGCCGGCGCCTCCAGCCTGCCCTGGAGAGGTGAGCAATGGAGGGCCTGCCTCAATTTCCCATTTTCTGGTCTTGGGCAAGCCAGCTGGCCCCTCTGGGTCTCTCCACCACGTTATCTTTGAGTTTAGAGATCCTGCTGGGGCATGAGGCTGGGGATTCCGGTCTCTACTGTGCTGCCTTCTCACTGTATGGCAAGTCACAAACATTTTCGGGGCCTTAGTTTACCCATCTCCAAAATGGGAATAACAATGCTTTATAGAGTGGGGGGAGGATCAGAGGAGTTAACTCCACCCAGTGCTCAACTCAGAGCCTGGCATACAGTCAGTGCTCAATAAAATGGTGGAGACTTTTACTATTTATCACCACAACTTTTGTGGAAGTTTCTGCCATGTGTTGTCATTTATAAATTAATTTACTCATGCCATAACATTTATGGAGCATCGGCTGTGCTAGGCTGGTGCTGGTGCTGGGGCTCAGCAGTGTTCTTCCAGTAACCAGCAGGAGCTACCAACATTCTAGTGGTAATCAATGTCTGGAAAGAGATGAACAGGGAGATGTGACAGGGGAGGGTGCTCAGGGAGGGTCTCTTAGAGGGGGTGATACCTGGAGGAGAAGGAGTAGCTCACCCATGGGGAGAACTAACAGAAGGCTTTCTCAGCGGAGGATACAACAGCTTTTGCAAAGGCCCTGTGGTGAGAATGAGCTTGATGTATTTAAATAATGATATGGGGGTGGATGTGGCTGCATGGAACTAGAGAAGAGGCGATGGAGGGAGGGAGGCAGGGGAGCAGGTGAGATTTTGTTCTAAGACCCAGAGGGAGCCATGGGAGGCTTTGGAGCAGGGGAGGGATGGAGTTTAAGTATATATTAAAACTGTGAACAGGGGTCATGTCCTTCCTACCACTCCCATGTGACCCTCTTGTCTCCTCCCACCCCCTCAGGTTCATGAGCTCATGAAGCTGTGCTGGGCTCCTAGCCCGCAAGACCGGCCGACCTTCAGTGCCCTCGGACCCCAGCTGGATGCGCTGTGGAGTGGAAGCCAGGGGTAGCGTCGAGAGGCATGAGACACATACCTTCCTTGCTTGTCTGGAGGGAGAACCCCACTCGCTGTCATTTTTACATCTCCTACACATAGACTGCTGGGTTCTAGTCTCCATGGACTGGCTATGATTCTGGTCTCCATGAACTGGCTATGTGACACTGGGCAGGGAGCTTGCCCTTCTCTAGGCCTCTGCTTCATGGAGAACTCCATGGGTCAAATGACATTGCATTTGGGGGCACCCTTGGCTTGCCAAGTAACAGCAGCCTCATGGCCTTTGGAACTTGTAAAGATTAAAGACAGCTGCCTCAGTGGGGCCTGCTGAGCCCTGCTCCCAGAAATGAGGGACCACATTTAAACTCCTCTCATCTTCTCATCTTCTCAGAGGATGTCTTTCTGTCTCATTTCCATCAGGGACATTATGTAGCTTTAAATATATGATCTCAGGCTTCTGTTCCTCCCTCTTGCTCTTACTGGAGGAAGCCAAGGACAAGAGCAGCTGCTCTGGTTGGAAATTCACTTTTGGGGCGAGCAAGTATGACTGGGATCATGTGAGGGGCCAGGAGAGCCTGGGGTCCAGTCCACCCTAACTGTACCTGAGTGTCCCCAGGGCTTGGTTCCCCACCTGTACACTGGGGCCCTTTCTATCCTGACTGAAGAGTCATGCACTGATGACCCTGGAGCCTGACAGGAGATTTTCGGCAGTCGAGAGAGGGAAAGGCATTCTTGGCTGAGGGAACAGCATGGTGAGAGTGAGGAGCCTCAGAATACAGAGGTTGTTGGAACCCATAGTTCTGCCACTTATTTGCTGTATGACAGTGGGCAAGTTCCTTCTCCTCTCTGAGTCTCAGTTCCATAGTGCTGGCCTCTCAGCTACACAGAGTCAACTTCTGGAGGCTTGTGCAGGTTAAGCCCCATCACACCTTCTCACTGCCCATGAGGCTTTTCTGCCACTGAGCCTCCCTGGAAAACTCTTATTCATTTCCCAGAATTTCAGCTGTCATCTCCCTGCAGCCTTTTCTGATGTGCTCCCACCACTCCCCACCAGTCTTATACTTCCCTCTGACCTTAGGGCTCCCCGGGGTGGTGACTGTGTCTAACTCTGTATCCTCCAACCTAGAGGCTCCATGGGGGCTGGGCTGGAGTGGGCGAAGAGGAGACTCTGGGATGTTTGTTGAATGAATAAAAGATTTCAGTGGAAGGGATGGTTTGTTGCTGGACTTGGGTGATGGGGAACCTTGAGGGGTATGTGACCTGGGGATGAATGTGGTTAGGGCTAGGGGATAGAGACCCCTGGGGGCCATAGTAGGGGCCTCAGGACAGGCTGGGGGAGGAGGAACAGCAGGGGGGGCATTGGCTGGGGGCCTGGAGGACAGAAGCCCTCCCCCCAGCCCCAGCTGCTGGCCTTGGCTCTGTCCTGGTGAGCTGATTGCAGGCTGTTGGTGGGTGGAAGGAACGGACTGCTCTGCAGGGGTCAGAGAACAAGGCTGGGTTGGAAGGGTTAGGCTGTGGGGAGGGGTCCAACATCAGGGGAGCCAAAGCCAGACCCCTGTGTGCTCCTCATGACTGCTGGAAAGATACGTAGAGTGACAGAGAAAGAGAAGAGACAGGAGAGAGAGCAGGGGAGAGGTGGAGACAGATCTCTGCCTACACTCTCAGTCCAGGAAAAGCAACCTGCTTTGGTGAAAAGCTGGAGGCGGGTGTGTGTGGGGCTGCTCTAAGCTTGAGCAAGACGAGGTTTTCAGCTCAGGCTCTCCCCTGCCATAGGTGGAGTATCTTCCCCTCTCTCTACCTGAGTTTCCCTTCTTGATAAAACAGCGTCATAAGTCCTCACAGGCGCCAGGCTGGCACCCAATAGGTCCTGAGCAAATGCAGCCAGCTTTATTCTGGTCCCTCCAGTCTCTGTCCAAGCCGAGGGAACCCTGATGTGGAAGAGGCAGAGAAGGCCAGAACCCCCAGGCCCAGGGCCCAGCCTCCTTCAAACTTGGACAAGTGTGGGGTACCCTCTCTAAGCCTCAATTTCCTTATGTTTACAGTAATAGGACATCAAGATTCTGGATATCCCTGGTCTTGGTTGGAGGGATGTGCCCCACCCACTACCCTATGGAATTATTATTTCTCAGCTTCTCTATTTCACTTCTTTAAAGTGGTTAAAAATAATAAAGACTCCTCAGCCAGAGGTTCACCTGGTAGAGGCACACCTGAGGCCCTGGTCCAGGGAGAGATATCCTCACTGTTTTGTTCTCGTCTCAGCCTATCAATAACCAATGTTGTGGCTGGACCAGCCCCTGTGTTTGTTATTATAATTGCAAGACACCCTTCATCAGTAACCATAAGGGAATTTTGAACAAATAAAGTTTATTACTTATAAGATCTAGAAATGATACAGCACACCTGGGGCCACACAAGTAGCGGGTGGAGAGAGAGAATATGCACAGGCCTGGAGTTCTGCTTTCAATGGGGTGGAGGATGGGGCAGGAGTGTAGATGGGGGTGCTAAGGTTTCACAAACTCATCCTTTATTGGTGAATTTAAAACATGAGAGTGGTAATTTAAAAAGAGAAAAAAAAACAAGTGGTCCAGTCAGTTATCAAAATCAACCAAGATCTCTAAAACAGAGGAGACCCCTCCCCCAGGGTGGGGGAGGAAAGGTCACCTGGCACTTCATCTAGATGCCAAGTTGGCATGTGTTTACTGGAGATTGCCATCACGGAGGTGGTTGCCTCTGTAATCAAAGCTTAACTAAGTCAGGCACTCACATTACAAAAAAGAGAAAACCCAAAGTCAGGGCTTACACTGTACTTGCCCTGACCCTGCCCTTGGCCTTCTCCTTGGGCCCTCCTGCAGCATGCTCGGTTCCCTCTCCAAGGTCTCCAGCTGGGGCAGGCTGGGCGCCTATAAGCGGGGTGCCCGCCTCGGTGCCTCCAGCCGTCATGGACCCCCGCCCGCTCCCCTGGGCACTGGTGCTGCTGGGCCCGGTCCTGGCACTGGCGTTGGACCACCAGTCTGCCCCGGAGGCGCCAGAGAAGCTATGTGGCCACCACTTCGTGCGCGCCCTGGTGCGCGTGTGCGGGGGTCCGCGCTGGTCCCTCGAGGGCGGGCGGCTCGTGGCTGGTAGCAACCGTGAGTGAGACTGGCGGGGACTGTGCTCCTGGGTCTCTTAGTGGGGCAGGTGCCACTAAGTGGGGACAGGGCGGGCGGCTCGTGGCTGGTAGCAACCGTGAGTGAGACTGGCGGGGACTGTGCTCCTGGGTCTCTTAGTGGGGCAGGGGCGCAAGTGGGCGGCGGGGTGGTGGGCGGATTTGCACGCGCGAACCGGGATCCACCTGCTGGCTGCGCGGTGAGTGCAAATCCGCGGAAGTTGTCTCCCGCGCAGAGAGGGAACCGGTGCCAGGCGAGAGGAACGAGTCAGAGTCTTCAAAATGCACGGTGATATCGCCTCTTTATTTACCATTTCAGTGTTTTGATCTTCATGCATTTTTTAATTAATTTTGATTTTTAAAAATATTGCATTAAAATATTATCGACCTTGATTGTTGAGTTTTGGCGCTCCCTTAAATTGTGCATCAAGACCAGTGCTCGCTCTCCTCCCTTAGTTCTGGCCCTGCTACAGAGGGCATAAAATAGATATGTGCACATCCGTATCACACACTTGTGCATCCTGAGTGCATCTGTGTGACGTGGGTGCAGATGGGTGTACAGAGGCTCACAGGAGGGTGGGGAGGACTGGGAGGGAGGGTTTGAGAGGATGTACTTGTGTGTGCTCACCCTAGGGTGTGTGTGTGTATGTGTGTGTGTGGCCACTGCTCGCTCACCTGTGCACATGTGTCATGTCACCCATGCTGTCTTTCTGCTCTGTGAAGCATCTGTGTCCACAAGATAGGTGGCAGATGGGAGTGCGCACAGCTGGGGACAAATGTGGGCATGGGTCAAGAGTGCACACACCTCGATTGGGAATTAAATCTGTATCTGATATATAGTAGGCACTTAATAAGTGCTCACTTTCTATTTTTGTGCATGACAAGTGTTTGGTGGGACATTTCAGCATGATATGAGCATGCAGGGGTGTGCACGCAGTGTAGGGGTCCTCTGGGGTCCCCCATCCATGCTGAACTCTACTGTCTCCAGGTGAGCTGCTGCAATGGCCGGAAGGACAACATCTCCTCCATGGGCTGGTGGATGACAGGGACCCCATGGTGGTACTTGCCCCACAGCCCCTGCTCCAGGCCTCTCAACATCACCACCATCGCAGGGCAGCTGCTGTCAACCCTGCCCGCCACTGCTGCCTCAGTGGCTGCACCCGGCAGGACCTGCTGACCCTCTGTCCCCACTGAGCCCTCCTGGGGCACGACCTTGGGGGAGCTCAGAAGATCGGGTCTGATGAGCTCCTGAAGCCATACAGCACCATAAAGCCCCACATCTGGAGGGACATTGTTGATTACCTCCTGGGACAGGGCACTCACGTGTTCCCCCAGGTCACCTGTCCTCTGTGGGGACAACTGGAGAAGAAAACACACTCAACTCTGGCTTGGAGGATCCTTGCTTTTATAGAGATTCTAGACACTGAGGGCCAAATGTCCTCACTTCTGAGGAGCCCCAGGCGCTACCCTCTTTGCATTCGTGACACCCCCTCTTGCCATCTCCCCAATAGAAAATAAAATTCCTGCAGAATTCAAAGCAGTTTTTTGTATTTTCTCAAGAAAAATGGATAAGCCGGGATCATCCCTCATGTGGGCTTGGCTTCTGGCAGCCGTAAACCCACTGACACTTTCAGGAGCTTGACAACAATTCCAGAGGCATCACAATACAAAGTGGGGAAACTGAGGCCTAGGGAGATGGCTGCTTGCCAAGGTCAGACAGGGAGGGAATGGCCAAGCGCAGGATTCGAAATTCAGGTATCTGTCAAGACTCATGTGGGGCCTTAATGTCACATAAAACCCACTTAATGGTGAACAGACACACAAATGTCTGAATGAGGTCACAGTGGATATTTTTTGATCCAACTCTGACGATTCTTTTCATTTGCATCCTGCCTTCATTCTGAGGTGGAGATTGTATAATGTGACCACCTTGCTGCAAGGTAGGTCTGTATTTGCTGACCCTTCCATGAGGCTGGGAGAGAGTACAGGGCAAGGTGTGCAGCATACAGTAGATGCACAATAAATAAAGAGGAGAGAGGAGGCAGGACAGAAGACAGTGGAGCCATAGACCTAGTGGAAGGAAGTGAGCCAGGATGGAAAGGGGAGCTTGGGGATGATTGGGAAGGGGCCTTGCCAGAAGCAGGAGGCAGAGGCTAGAGGTCCTGTGTCCCATGCAGACAGGAGCAGAATCACCCTGTGCTTCTCTTTCCTGAGTCTGCTGTTGAGCTGGCAGTGAAGATCAGTCTTGGGAGGATTATGAGCTGAGAGCAACAGGGTGTCATGGCATGTATGTGAGCAGGGATGGGGTGAGGTCACAGCTGCCTGACAGAGACGCCTGCAGCCTCGCTTTGTCCATTAGTGTATATTTTCTACTGAAAATGAGACTTTTACAAACGAATTTAGATTGGTCTGAGTTAAAACTTTTTAAACACTTAAAAAGACCTCCAGGTCTTCACAAAACATTTTATTTCCTGAGGATCCACTTCCCAGTCTGTACTCTGCTGTCTGAGGTGACCCTGTTACCACTCCAATGCCTGCAAGGCCCAAGTCCCAGGCATCTGTCCAAGACCAGTAGGGCTAGGGGTTACTGGCTGGCTTGGATCTTTCCAATTCAAAAGACACACTGGGGCGGGTGACAGTCGTGGGTCCCAATAGCTCAGGACCACTCTGGGACCTGAATCTCTTTCTCTGGGTACTGGGATGCATGTACAGTCTGGCCATAGGCCCAGTGAAGACCCCTCTGGTCCCAATACTGTTTCCTGAGTTCTTGGGGAGCCCAGGTGTGGGGGCTGGGTCTTGCCAGGGACTCCAGACACTCTGAGTCCCTAAAGCCTGAGACAGACAGCTGTGTCCCTCCTTTGTCCAATGCTTCCACCACTGGAGCACTTGATATCACAGCCAGGGAAGGGGTGGCCCCATTCATGACCTCTCTGGCCCCTCCTACCATCTGAGGGGCCCCAGGGAGGAGTCAGGAATTGAACCTCGCTTTCTCTGGCTGAAAAATGCTTCTCTCTTCAGCTACATGTAAACCCAGGAATTCCTAATTGGCCTTGAACCATGGCCAAAACTTGCCTACAGTTCAACTACTGCAAGTTCATTACTAAGGAGAGGCTGGCCACTGTTTAGGGTCTAGCCCATGATCTAGGTTGGAGCTAGGATGTGGGAACTTGACTCAAATGGGCTGGAAGCAGCAATAGCAGCTGGAACCCTGGCATAAGTGCTTCTGCCACTATCTGCCATGGAAAGAGATGGTCCCTCCAGCTGAGAGTCTAGGAGGATAATGGAACATGGTCTAAGCAGTAGAGGCTTGGTTTTGAAAGATGTATCGGAGTTTGCCAGCAAAACTATTCACTCTTCAAATCCTTCCTGGCACTCCCCTATGCCCTAGAAGGACAAAGGCCTCAGCTTCCTGGGAGAAAGACACTGTCCCTTCCTGTGGAGGTGGACACAGTATCCTGGAGGCTGGGGGCCCTGATACCACCTCAATAGATCTTCATCTGCTTGCCACAGGTGAGGCTGGGCTGGCTCAGTGCGTCCCACATGAGCAACATCTCATATGGCAAAAAGCGGTGCACCAACAGCAGCTCCCGGTAGAAGCAGGGATCAAAGGAAGACAGCTGTGCCGAGGGGGACCAAACGCCGGCCGTGCGGATACCACTGTGTGAGGCAGGCTTCAGACCCTCCTGCTTCAGGCACATGCCCAGGAACACGTCATCGATGGGGAAGAGGTCCAGGGTGCGGGCAGCCCGGCGCAGGGCAGTAGCTGTGAAGCGAGACAGCAGGAAGCCACCGCCCCCGCAGTAGGGTGGGTAGTACTCTTCCTGTGTCACAATGTTTGGCACATAGTATTTGCTCCAGGGGATCCGGATGGGGCCCACATTGTAGATCAGGTGCCCCACAAAGAGGTGGTGGTCAGGGTTGTGGCCCTGCAGGTAGGAGACCATGTTGTTTGTGTGTGCAAAGACGTCATCGTCCCCGTTGAGTATGAAGCTGACGTTGGTGCACCGAGTCTCTTGCCACTGCAGGAAGAGCACCTGCAGGAGGGTGGACAGGGCATGTGGGCTCAAGGGCTGAGGCGATCAGCTTTGGGTCTCTGTTGGCCGCCCCAGCCCAGCAAGCCCAGGTGAGAATGTGTCCCCCCGTTAACCTAGCCTAGGTTCAAAGACCCACTCTGTGGGGTGAACTCAGCAACCAACTGCTCCTCCCTGTGCCTCAGTTTCCAACTTTTCATTCAGGTCTCATCTCAAGATCTGCCTCCAGGAGTGTTGGGGATCCGCAGGGACAATGTTCTGTAAAGCACCAAGAAGTGCTTGAAAATTGTCACATTTACATTTATTGCTATTCCTTCCCACTCTGCCTGGCTAAATACTGGCTGTTACATAATTACTTGTATGACTGTCATTGAACAGCTACCTCCCCACCAGACTTTGGGCAGCTCCTGGGTGGGGGCTATATCTTCTACCTGCGCCATCTCCCCGGCACCCAGTGTGGGCTCAACGCTTCATAGGGGCTGAATTTATTTTTGTCAAGTTGATGTTTACCACATGCTTTGGTGTTTTGTGTTAAGAACATGGCATGTTGAAGGGTCCTGCACCTCTGTCTGCCTTGCTTTCAGTTTCCTCCATAATAACCTTTGGTGCCTGAGGGGCACCGTCCTCAGGGCCCTCCCTGCTTTCAGTCCCATTTACAGCTGAGGAAATTGAGGCTGTCCAGAAAAATGCCTTGAGCAAGGTCACATAACACAGAAGTGGCCACTCAGAACCTGTCTGTACCTACCAGAAGCAGGAACCTGTTCTGGGTCTCTACTCTGCTTGCTCCGCCCCTCCACTCCTTGAATGGATACCTGTCTGCACCTACTACTAGAAGCAGGAACCTGTTCCAGGTCACTACTCTGTTTGCTTCACCCCTCTACTCCCCACTCCTCCCAACCTGGGCGGGTCCTAGGAGCCTCCAATTTCTCCTCTGCAGGTAAATTCTCTCTACCTCTCATGGGTTCTTACCCATCCAAAATGTCTTTATTGAGCACCTACTGCACAGACCTGGGCCTCAGGAGGAGACAGAACCAGACCACATAAACAAGATATGTTCTGTCCCACGCCCCCTTCCTCCACCCCTCCACCCCACTGCCAAAGTGGAGTGACTGGCACTGGTCCAGGTGCCTTCTAAATATCATCTCATGTATTCCTCACAGCAGCCCTCAGAGGTGGGTGAGTCCAATTAATATCTCAGTTTTCCTGATGAGGAAACTGAGGCACAGAGAGGTGAACCATCATCAACAGCAACAGAGCCTAAAATCAAACCCCGGTCATTAGGCCCCTAGGACCAGGCTTGTAATCTGGAGGCACCCTGCTCTTTCTCCCCGCCTCCCCTAGAGGACGAGGACTTCACATCACCATGAGGACAGTAAAGAGGGTTCAGTGGGGGTTTGCTGGTCCCCTGGGCCCCTCAGAGAAGGTGGTGGCCATCTAGACAGGAAGGACAAGTGGCCCTGATCATGGGATCCCCACCGGCCCACCTGCTTGAGCGTGAGGTTGAAGAAAGAGTCCTCGAAGTCCCACTGCAGGATGTCATGGTGCGCCCGCGCCTCTATTGCCAGCAGCTGGTTGACCTTGCGGGCCTCCAGCGGGTTGGGGTCCGTGCCCACCAAGAAGAGGCGGCGCAGATGGACTCCCCGCACCTTACGCTAGCGGCCCCATGTGCGCCGCACCAGGTAACGACGCTCGTAATTGCTTGGATGACTTGATTTTGCTGCGCGCACTTGGCCGGCGGCACGTCCTGCAGCAGCGGGAAGTCGCGGCAGTGTTTGTGCAGCAGGAAGTTGCGCACGTGCTCCGGCTGCTGCTTGAAGTCCGGCAGCTCTGCCACTGACCAGTTCGCCCGGCAGGGGGCGGGCGGGGGCCGGGAGGGCGGAGGAGTCCTGGTCTGAGCCGTGGGGGTGACCAGGGGCTCCTTCAGGTCCGGGTAGGAGGGTGGTGGCATATGCGGACAGAGGAGGAAGAGAGTGAAGGTGCCTAGGGCCACAGCCAGAGCCACAGCCAGAGCCGTCCCTGTCCGCAGGAGCCGGAGACACTTCATCCTGGTCACCAAGGTTTGGGATTGGTCCAATGGGTCCCCAGGCAGTTTCTGGGGAGAATAACACTCACTGAAGATCCTGGATGGGCAAGCACTTTTTCTGAGCTACCTGTGGACCCCGGCATCGGGTTGCTGCCTACAGATGCTCAGGTTGGTAAAATAGTGAGATTCACTCTCACCTCGTCCACAGCACCCCACCTCTTCCAGCACCCCAACCCATGTTGGTTGGCTCTGACAGCTGCCCAGGCCCTGCTGCAGATTTAATATTTACAAAGAAAACTGTGGCACTGGGAATGCCAACATGAGCCCCCCAGACTCAGTGTGCCCAGAATCACTTCCCTCCCAATCCAACCTGATCCCCCTCATGTCCCTGCCTCCCTGCGGGCTCTGATTTTCTAAGAGAACTCTCATTTTATCAGTCGAGAGCTGCTTCCCCTTTTCACCTGCCCCTCTAGAAAGCTCTGAGGTTCTGAGATTCTGATATAATCATTATTCATTATTTTTGACAATTTTTAATGATCCTGTGACCCGAGCATGGCCCCTGGCCCCTTACAGACCCTTCAGGTCCAGCATGTCTCAGAACAAAGCTATTTTCCTTGTCAAACTTCTATTCCTCTTTTAAAACCCATCTTAAATGATCCGTTTTCTGGGAAGTTCTATCTGAGCACTGAGCAAGAGTCCTGGTTCCTTGTTTGGCACCTTTGACCTTGTCTCCCACTCTGGCCCAGTCCTGATCCCATGGGGGTGTCTGTGTCTGGCTTTGTCTTCCCAAGGCTGGTGGCTTCTTGCGGGGTCCTGGTATCACCCAGCATGAAGTAGACACATGGGGGAAGCAGGGAGTGTTTGAATTGATTTATGAATAAAGGTAAACTCATTAAGTTTCTCTCTGGCAAATATTCATCCTTCCAGCCCCAGCTCTAATTCTCCTCCTCCTCCTGAAACTTTCCCTCTCCTTATCAAGGCAGAGCCCTTGGTCTCCCTTCCAGGTCCCTGTCCCAGGCTTCCCTGGACTCCCTCAAAGTCCTTTTTTCTGGAAAGGTGGTGTCTGCGCTGTTTTCACCCCTAAATTTGAGGATCTGTTTTTTTAGTGCAGCATGAAAGTGCTCGATTAGACCCAAGCAGGACTTACCCATTCAGCAAACACTTATTGGCTCATCCCAGAGGGGTGCAGACTCTGGACCTTAATTCCTGAGTTTAAGTACCAACTATATCACTTCCTGGCTGCATGCCTTCCACAACCTGGCCTTCTCAGGTATAAAGGGGGCATCTGAACAACCCCCAACTCATAAGGTTATACAGGCATGAAGGGAACTCCCAGCACCAGGCACCTAGTGGGCATTCAATGAGTGTTTGTTGAATGAATATGTAAACCTCAGCACTTACCTCAGCCTGCCTCGAGATATCTGTGCTGGTCTGGGGTCTCCTTGTTCTCCCCACTTGCACCTGGAACAGTGTAAGGCAGTCATGAAGTTCTGATGAACCCCCTCCTGCCCCAAGCAACCCTAGCCAGCTATTGCCTGGCAGCGAGCAAGAAAGTGGTTTCCTATTTCCATCCAGAGCGACTAATTGATGCTGGAGGTAGGGACAGGGCTTCCCTCCCCAGTCCATGAGGCCACTTCCCCAACATGCCCATTGCTCTCTTGGCACATTGCCTGAATCAGGCCTCTCTAGATATGCCACCCAGAAACGAGGCTCAGATTCTAGGTCCTGCTGTGTAACCTTGGGAAAGAAGCTGGACCTCTCTGAGCCTCCATGTAAAATAGGGGGGAATGAACTCTATATGAGTGTTGTGAAGATCTTAACCTCGAACATGCTGGGCATGGCCCTGCCTCAGGACCTGTGCACAGGTATTCCCTCTGCCTGGCATGCTTTCCTCCAGATTTGCACGCAGCTCTCTCCCTCACTTCCTTCCTTTGTTCGATGTCCTCTTCTTGGGGAGGCCTCCTCAGGATACACCATCTCACCGACCCTCCTCTCCCCGTCCCATTCTACCTTTTCTTTCTTCCATAGCGCTTTCCATCTTCTAAAATATATGAAACTTTTAAAATGTATTGTTTCTTGTCCATCTCTCCCACTAGAACATAAGCTCCGTGGCTGAGAAATCCTGGTCTAAACTGACAGAAACCAGAATAGAGAACTCAAAATAAAGGACAGTCAGAAGAGAACCAGTGAGTAAAGAACCTTAATGTAGGTTTATAGAAATTCACCACGTGGAGGGAGTACTTATGGGATTTATTATTGCTTATTTATATATCATTTATATATTTATTAAACATTTATTAAGTAGAAAAATCAAACCTAAATGGCCAAGAATCAGTTCACTGGGAATGTATTTCATAAATTCGAAACGAGGGCTCTAAAACAAAGGAAGACACCTCAGCAAATACAAATATTTACAACTCACCCTGAATCTGGGCATTGAAGAGGGGGAAGGCCTGAAAGGAGGTAAAAGAACTAAATGGCTCAGATTACCGGGATCAGGGTATCAAGGCAAAATAGAACTTCTTGGGGTGGCCATTTGGTTTTAATTAATTCCTTTAATGTCTGTTCTTTTCCTTGAATTCTTTTTTCTTGTCAGAACTCTTTGCATATGAAACATTCTTTGTTGGCAACCTGCATTCCTAACTTTTTCTTACAAAAAGGAGGTAAAAGAACTAAATGGCTCAGATTACCGGGATCAGGGTATCAAGGCAAAATAGAACTTCTTGGGGTGGCCATTTGGTTTTAATTAATTCCTTTAATGTCTGTTCTTTTCCTTGAATTCTTTTTTCTTGTCAGAACTCTTTGCATATGAAACATTCTTTGTTGGCAACCTGCATTCCTAACTTTTTCTTACAAGGTCTATGGTTTCTCTAAATGGAGGGATCTCGCTACCCCAC